GTACTGCTGCTCTCTGGAAATTCTTAATTTTGCCCCTGAGCTGTTTTGCAAAGGAAATCTGATGGAGCAACAGCCTACAGGTGTGAGGGGTGGGGCTGGGCACCATACGTGTGCCCTCCGATTCCTCTTTCCCATAGAGCATTTGCAGAGCCCTCGTGGAGCCCTCGCGGTGGAGCCCAGTGCGGATGAATGGGACTCTCGACACCACCAAGACCGCGCCTTCCCTTGGAACCTGAACTTGCAGCGAATGAAGAATGCAAGAGCAAGGACTGCATCATCGCCTCTCTTGTCAACACTCCTTCCCTGTGTCAGCCAACCATGAAAGCTGAAAATCATGCGCTAGAAGGAAGTTATGGCAACCTCAGTTGCATTTCCTGTCGGATCCTTCTTCCTCGTCAGCAAGAGAGCATAGGTAGAACGTGGGCAAAACAGAAAGTGAAACGAAAAAGTTCAGGAAGTACGTGCAATGCTTTCACTGCAAAAATGAAATATTTCACGAATGGCTCTTAAATACGAACTCGGTACTGTCAGCAATTCTGTGCACAAGTTAAACGCTCTTATACACATAATTAAGTCTAAAATAGCAAAACATTGCGAGGAGTAGTTGGATTCATGTTATTACGGTATTTTTTATTTTTTAAAAATTAGAATTAAATAGTAAGTTCAGGGCTACAGTATAAAACAAACAAAAAACTTTTGTAACTTTTTAATAATTACTTTTTGTAGTGCCAGGGACTGAACTCAGGGCCTTCACAATGAGATACACCCCCTACCCCACTCTATTTAAAAAAATGTTTTGAGACAGAATGTCACTAAGTCAATAAGTGGCCTACAGATGATTACAACATGGTCTCTCTCCGGCCCAGCCTCCCAGAATGCCGGGCTGCAGGCCTGTGTCATCATGCCCACCTCCACTGCCTCTTCTCCCTGGTTTTGAACAACAAGCCCTCCATTTACTCCAGGTGTTATGGATTCTGAACATGCTCTGCCTGAGATGGCCACTTGGGAATTACATGACAGTGTATATCTGAAGGTCCTTGTGGGCAAGTATGATATTAAAAAATCTTCCTGGACTCGCTTCAGCTTCGCTCCACCTCACTACCTCTCTCCTGTTCTTCAAGTCTGCAGGAATTCTACCCTAACCAAGTATCTCCAATGTCACTGGAATCTGATCACAGCAATCCTCATTCTAAAGCCGTCTGGGACTCCCTTGTCAAAGATGACATGGCTCAGTGTATGTGAGGTTCTTTCCGCATCTTCTGAACTGTTCCATCAACTCTCAGGTCTGTTTTTTTTTTTGGTCAGTACCATGTGCTTTTTTGGTACTAGGAATAGAACTCAGGACCTTGCACTTTTGAGGCAAGTGGTAGCACCACTGAGCTAAATCCCCTGCCCTACCATGCTGTTTTTATCACAGAAGCTCTGTAGTATAATATCAAGTCAGGGACTGTGATGCTCCTACCTTGCTTTTTTTGCCCAGAATTGTTTTTGCTAATCTAGGTCTCTTCTGATTCCAAATGAATTTTAGGAATGATTTCTCTAGTTCTGTGAGGTATGGTAATGGTATTTTTATTGGGATTGCATTAAATCTGTGTAACAATTTTGGGAGTATGGCCATCTTCACTGTGTTGGTTCTTCCTACCCCTGAGCAAGGGGTGTCTTTCTATTTTCTGATATTCTCTTTGATCTCCTTTTTCAGAGTACTGTAATTTTCAGTGTAAAGATCTTTCACTTCTCTTGTGAGATTGATTCTTAGGTATTTCATTCTTTTTGATGCCAATGTGAAAGGTATTGTTTCACTAATTTCTCTCTGTGAGTTCATTTTTTGTGTACAGGAATGCTATTGATTTCTGAATGTTGACTTTGTGTCCAGCTATGCTACTGCATTTGATTATTAAATGCAGAAGTCTTTTGGTGGAATTTTTCAGGTCTTGTATGTAAAGTATCATGTCATCTGTGAATAATGATAATTTAACTTCTTCCTTTCCTATCCTTATTCTTTTTATTTCTTTCTCTTGTCTGATTGCTCTGACTAATGTTTCCAGAACTATTTTGAAAATAAGTGCTGACAGAATACACCTTGTCTTGATACTAATTTTAGGGGAAAGCTTTCAGGCTTTGACCATTTTGTATGATGTTGGTTGTTGGCTTCATAGACGGCATTTATCAGGCTACTTCAATTTTCTACACTTGATCTTAGCCGAAAGACTGAGAAGCGATTATTTTTTTCTTTTTTCGCTTATTTTTTTGTACCAGGGATCAAAGTCTGGTCCTTACACTTGCAGGGCAGGTGGCAGACTATTTCATTCTTCTGTAGAGTTTTTATCATGAATTCATGTTGGACTTTGTGAAATGCTTTTTCACATTTATTGAGAAGCTCATATGATTTTTGTTTTTGGCTCTGTTGATATGGTGTATTACATTTATTGGCGTATGTTGAATCGTCCTTGCATCCCTGGGATGAATCCTACTTGGCCATGGTGTATAATCTTCTTGATGATTTGCTGAATTCTGTTCACCAGTATCTTATTGAGGATTGTGGCATCTATGTTCATTAGGGAGATTGGCCTGTAGTTCTCTCTTTGGTTGGGTCTTTTTCTGGTTTTGGTATCAGGGTAATACTTGCTTCCAAGGATGTTTTGGGAAGTACTACTTCCCTTTCAATGTCATTGAAGAATTGGAAGAGTAGTGGCATTAAATCTCTAAATTTCTTGTGGAATTCAGTAGTGAAACCATCAGGGCTTGGACTTTTCTTTGCTGGTAAGTTTTTAATTACATTTTCAATTTCACTAATTGATAGTGGGTTATTTAGAATTTTTGTGTCTTCATGATTCAGCTTTGGTGATTCATATGTACGTAGAAATCTGTCCATTTCTTCTATGTTTTTATCTTATCAGATTACAGGTTCTCAAAGTAGATACTGATGATCCTCTGGATTTCTACTGGATCCATTGTGATTTTACACTTTTCATTCTTAATTGCATGAATCTGAGTGTTTTCTTTCCTTTTTTGATAAGGTTGGCTAAGTGTTTATCGGTTTTATTAAATCTTTCAAAGAACTGACTCTTCAATTCATTGATTCTTTGCATTGTTTTCTTGGAGTCTCCATTTTGTTAACTCTGCTCTGATCTTCACAATTTTCTCTCTTACACAAGCTTTCAGCTTGACTCGTTCTTCTTTTTCTAGACACCTGGAGTTGTTTATTAGAGCTTGTTCCGTTTTCCTGATGTGAGAATTTACTGCTATAAATTTTCCTCTCAGGACTGCCTTCATCATGTCCCTTAGTTCTGGTGTGTGTGTCAGCATTATCATTTAATTGTATATCCTGTTTAATTTCTTCTTTAATTTCATCTGTGACTCATTGGTTTTTCAGGAGGGTGTTATTTAATTTTCATGTGTTTATGTGGTTCTTGTGGTTTCTTTTGCTGTTGATTTCCAATTTCCTTGCCACACTGTCAGATAATATGCATGGGATGATTTTAATTACTTTGCATTTACTTAAGCATGTTTTACAGGATAGTACGTGGTCTATTTTGGAGACTGTCCCCTGTGCAGGTGAGAAGAATTTGTGTTCTGATGTTATGGGGTGGAACATTCTGTAGACATACACTAAATCCATTTGTTCACAGGTTTGGTTCAGATCTGACATTTCTTTGTTGACTTTTTGTCTAGTTGGTCTATTTGTGACAACAGGGTACTGAGGTCCCTCATTAAAATCAAAGAAAGACGGCCTCTTTAATAAACTGTGCTGGAAAAATCTGGCTTTCTACATGCCGATATCTAAAACTAGACCCATGTCTCTCATCATGCACAAAACTAAAATTACAGTAAATTAAATATCTGAATATAAAACAGAAACAGTAAATCTGCTGGAAGAGAGAATAGGTAGAACACTTGAGAACACAGGAGTAGGCAAAGACTTCATGAACAAAACCCAGACTGCATGGGAAGTACTATAAAGAATCAACAACCAGAACCTCATCTTATTGAAAATCTTTTGCACAGCAAAATAAATCACCAACAGAGCAAAAAGACAACCCACAAAGTGGAAAAATTTTTAGCTAGTGGTTCCTCAGACAAAGAACTAATACCTAAAATGTATAAAGAATTGAAAAAAATCGGTCCACCCAAATTTATAGACCCAATCCAAAAATGGGCATCTGAGATGAACACATGCTTCACAGACAAAGAAGTAGAAATGGCAAATAAATGCATGAAAAAATATTCAACATCACTGGTTATTCTACAGATGCAAATTAAAACAATGCTGAAATTCCATCTTACGCCAGAAAGAAAGGCTGCTGTCAAGAAATCAACCAATGACAAATGCTGACAGGGCTGTCTGGAGAAAGGAACCCTCTCCACTGTTGGTGGGAGTGTAGGCTGGTGCAATTGCTGAGGAAATCCGTGTGGAGACTGCTAAAAAAACTAGGATTAGAGGTCCCATTGGACCCAGCATTCCTCTCCTGGGTATCTTGCCAAAAGAATTAACAGCATCACAACACAGCAATTGATGCACACCCATGTTTATAGAGGCACAATTTGTAATAGCTAAGGCTTGGAAACAGCCCAAACGCCCATCAACTGATGAATGCATAAAAAAGATGTTTTTAAAAAATATATGGTGGAGTACTATTCAGCCATAAAGAAGGATAAACTTGAGATATTTCTAGGTAAATGGATGCACTTTGAGAACATACTCTTAAGTGAAATAAATAGAACACACATGTATAAATATTGCATTGTGTCCGGTGTGAGAAACTGAAAGTGAAAATAAAGACCAAAAAGAATAAAAAGTATTGCAAAATAGGAAGAAATGTTTCAATTATACAGCATGTAAGATACTTCGTGACTATTTAAAATATTTTAAGCAAAAAAAAAAGTACTATTAGGAAATGTGCTGAGAAATAGCAAGTGAAAATACATTCTTTTTAGATCAGTGTCTTTACCACTGTTATTCTCTAATCATTTTTGTTCTGAGAAATTATTATTTTCATAGATTTTTCATATTTTATTGATTTAAATCTACTTATATTGAACTTTTAAAAAATGCTACACGTAAAGAAGAAAAGTAACTGCACTACATTCTACAGACTGGGGTGGACCTCTTTGTTAATGTCCAGTATCCTTTGTCTTAGGGTCTGGTGCACTACATAAAAAAAAATTTTTTTTAAGCCATTGGTGATTGCCCATTGTTGTGAAAGCAAACTCTCCCTGGGAGGAGAACCCCAAATGAGTTCGAGGACCCCACTTCAGCAGCCCACCTTGGAGAGCTGAATGGGCCTCTGCCCCTCTGAGAGTCCACTGATGTGTTATCGCTTATCAGCACATGCTGGGGTAGCTGCTTTCCGTGTTTGTCAGCTGCTGTATCCTCTCCATCCCATAAACTGCAGCAAAGTAGCTTTTCTCCCCCTAAGAACACCTCTGCAGTTTTCCTTTCATTCAAACTTTCTCTTCAATGAAACATTATTTTCACTTATAAAAGTTCCATGACGTGTTCCCTCCCAGAGGCTTCTAGATGGGGATAACTGTAGGCTAAATGAGAACTCCCCAGTGTCCCTGCTCACTGGTGCATCTCTGCCGGGCTCCTGAGGTCGCCCTGTCTGTTGAAGGGAACAGGGCAGACAGAGCAGAATCCAGTTCTGATGAGTCTGCTCAGGGAATTCACAGGCAGCAAGGACATCCTTCATTTTTAATTTGTTGATTTAATCTGTCTGGTGAGGAACCGACAAAATCCTCATCACCTAATGTGCTTAATGGTCTAAATGAAATGAGCTGGTGATGTTGATTTACTTACTGTTGGACCCATTTCGGAGTCGCGCAGCCACCAAGAAGGGCTCCAATGAGCCCTGCTCTCAGAAGACGCAGCCTGGCAGAGGACACGTGGCATTTTGGACAAAAGGAAAATGATGGAAGAGTCTACAGGAAGTGCAGCCTCATGCTTCTCTGAAAGACTAGTAACTATCAAGCTAGGAGGAAATGATAGCCAGCCAGAAGAGACAGCCAGCAAAGCAAATGCAATCTCTGTTTTGGGTTAGTTGTAATGGTGATGTTGATTTGCATTTTCCCTTTTTCTTTAACTATTCAGAGTTAATATGAAAAACCCAGACAAAAAGAAGCAAAATGTTGACACGGAACAGGAAACAGAATAAACCAACTGCCCCAGACTCTGGTAGAACACACTCCTCTTGCTGCATTTTGTATGTGGTTAACCGTTCAAAAATAATGGCACAGGTGAGGACAAGTTGATATATGTCTTTAAAAGGGTTAAAGAGAATAAAAACTACATTTCCTTTTTTGTCTCCTTTGATCTTCACAACACAGGAAAATGCTGAAAGATCAAGTCCTGTGGATATTGAGAAGTTTATATAACTATTGCACTACCATGAGAAATGACTTAATTTTCCCCCACAGTGAAAGACCCAGAATATCACCCTACAGAACTGATGAAAATGTGTTTCTTAACTTAGCCATTATCTTCTAAAGCTCCTTTCCATTAACACATTCATACATGTGTACAAACACATTCACCCACCACCGCCGACAACAAAAACAGTTCTCTTTCTGTCTTTGTTTATAATTTGGGACAATGTTTTGTGTCATGAATAGAGAATGCAAGTGCCAGTATTTAGCATTAAGGTTAATTCAGAGAAAACACAGTTCTAGTTAATCTGGATGAAGGAAACTATGCATAAGGGTCATACTTTATATTCTTTTTTTCCCTCTTTTTCAGAGATTCAACCAAGAACCTGTCAAGCTATAAATATGAATCGTGTGCTCCATAGGGGTGAACACTGTACTGTGCCTCACTTTTTTAGGGCACCATCATTTTTCAGAAGGCAGAACATTATTTAGAAGGCACATTGAGAATTAGAAATACAGAAAGGTCCGAAAGTCCACCACAGTGTTAAACTGGTGTCCTGAAGCTCGAGTGTGGGAGCTAATTCGGGTTAAAGAAGTCAAACTAGGTATACTTGGGTGAACAGTGGATATGATGAATTAAAAAATTCTCACCACTGCCTTCATTGAAAAGAGATGTCAGTATTTCCCCTTTCTGATTATGAAGTGGCCAGGGCACAGTTTAGAGCAGCATTGTAACTCTCTCATCTCTTCAGGCTGGGCCTAAGAGATCTAAAGCTGTATCTGCTCTTCACAAGAGAATGTCCCTTCTTGGAAGCCACCCTCTAAGCAAGAAGTTTGGCACCTCTGTGACAACCATGTTATAAGGAAGCCCAACTAGCCAGGCGAAGAGACAAGGGCCATAGAGCAGAGCATTCGGGTACCAGTTATATGCAAGAAGCCTTCTTGGACTTTCTGTTCAAGCTTGGCCTGTAGAGCAACCGACCTCCGTTAGTGCATGGTTTGTAGAAGACCTCTCTACAGATGACCTGCCTGGATCCCAGGCCCACAGACCCCTAGGCAAGGATGGTGGTGTTGTGAGAGCCACTGGGGCTTTGGGAAAGTTTGATGAACAGTAATAGATAACCGAAATAATGTGTACAGACAGCACTCCCAGGCAGCCAACAATTGTCCATGAAGCGGATCAAATGTTTGGCTTTCAAATCTGTAAGGCATATGTGGCTGGGAATGTAGCTCAGTGGTGCCACTGCCCTCGTCACAAGTGCAAGGACCTGAGTTCAATCCCTGGTACAGAAAATAAATACATAAATCTGCAAGACGTAATGCATTTCTGGATTTTACTTCTAAGGAAAAGATGAAGTTGGAACAACTTGGAGCTAATCAGTCCCTATCAGCTCCATTGCCTTCTGAGCTAATTAAGATGCTACTTTATTTAATGTGCAACCCAAACTGTGGATGCACAGTAAATGTGCTCCATAGGATGAGTTTCTGAAGTTGCGATTTAAAAAAGAGGTTGAATGCTTAAATCCTGTTACTTTGTGGAAAATTACAGTTTGAAATAGAAAGAATGTATAAACTATAAATAGCTGCTCACATGGACAGAGTTTTAGATCAGCATAAATGAAGTACATGAGGACATGACTGGAAAAAATCCAAATGCGGTGAGCTTCACCAGAGAAGATACCTTGGCAGAAATGTGGTTTGGGCCATATCTTGAAATAAAATTTGAGATAAAGGTAGAGAGTAGGAAGGAGAGTACTGACATGGAAGATTTCTAATATGAAGCAAGAACGAGAGAAAAATTAAAATCCCTAACTTACTTAAGTTTGACATCTCAGTGGGTGGGGTTGGCACCTAAAAATGTAAGTCAGCTGTGAAGTAATTCTTGCAATCTTGTGATGCAGAATGGAGAGATGAGGTTGAAAATCAATTTCAGTAGCCTAGTGACACTGCAGATATTTAGAAAGAGTCTCTGTCATAGAATAAATCAAGTACAGTAACACCCCCACTCCCAGAAAAGCAAAGAAATGGGTATAGTGTAAGAGCAGCTTGCTCTAGATTTATCATCATTCTAATTTTCTATGTATGCATGCGTATTTGCAACCACAGATATTTTAATATCTTAGGTGTCTCTAGGAAGAAGGCTGTCAAAAATCTTACCTAATGAAATTTACAGGGGAAAAAAAACCAAATGGGAATAAATGGGAAAAACAACTTCTGTGAAATAAAAAAAAAACCAAAAATTTATGTGTATTTGCTCCACATGAATTTTTTATGGCAGCCTTATTTTAATAGCACTGCACCACCTTATTTTAATACCATTACATAAATAGCAAATGTTTGTATTAAAATAATTAGCAATAACATAAAAGTTCTGAGCATCATTGGCCAAAAAGATGTAAACTAATTCCAAAACAAGGAAAGCTTCACATCCACTATAATTGCTATATATGTATTTTTTTTTAAGTTGAGACTGCTAAATGTCAGCAAGACTGCAGAGCTACTAAAACTCAAATACATTGCTGTGGGAAAGGCCAAGCAGTTTATCTGAAAACTGAACATATATTTGTGCAACAATTTGAGATATTTTATTTCTGGATATGATTGTTGTTTTATTTATTGCAATCCAAGTTATTTTTCCAAGAACTACAGAGCACACGTATACAAAAGAATTTTTACAAGAATGTTCTTAGCAGTTTAACTTACAATTGACCAAAACTGGAAAAAGTTCAGAGATTTATTAGTAGGAGAATGGATAATCAATCTGTATTACATTCAGACACCAGAACACCACTCAGCAGCACCAAGGGCAGAACTGCCGACACATGCAAATCCAGGAGAGTTCGGGTGAAGGGAAGGCAGGGACAAGGGGAACAAATGAGAAGCAAGACCTGTCATGTAAAGGTACAAGATCCCAATGATGAATGTAACTGTACTGTATCCCTGAGATGTACCAATAAACTCAATGAGAAAAAAAAAAGCAAGGAGAGATTAAGAAGCTTCATACTTGGTGAGAGAAGCTTTAGGCAAAATAACATATCTAATATGAATTCTCAAAGGGGCAAAACTGCCGTATGGTGGGAACAGAGCCACCAACTAAATCAGCAAACAACTAGAGCTGTGGTAGCCTTTGAGAGACGGTTAGGTGGGGCTTTCCTGGGAAGACATTTTAATCACCTTCCTGGGATGATGGTCACATCTCGATGGAGGTGTAGGTTATGTGTTTGTACACACTTGTTCAAACCTGTTGAACTATACCCTTGAGATTCGTGCATTTCCATATATGTATTTCACTGCAAAGGAAAAAATCCCCCAAAACCGACATTCAGTATTGAGCTCTACTGATGCGCACAATAACATGTTTAAGTGGAAGTACACCAATACTTTTGCTCTATACGGAATGCAGCCAAAACCGTAATGGATAAGTATTTGAAAGAGATGGAGAGACCCGGGGTTATGAGATAAATCAAGGACACTGAACTGTTGATGGTAAAATGTGGGTCACAGGTATATGGCTATTCCTTATTACATTCTTCCAAATTTTCTATATATTTAATTTTTCTTTCAAAATCAGATGTTGGAAAAGAATTACTGACGATATTAACATATGGCAAACAACGAGTCCTACATCCCTGGCCCTGTCGTGTTATGTGGTACATCCAAAAGGAAAACACAAACTTGCCCTGTAAATAGTTTGCATAGTCGAATCTAATCGCACAGCTGCACAGAAAATATAATACGCACAAGTGCAGTTTACACACAGATCACAACCAGCAAAACACTTGGCATAAATTT